AAGTAGATTACTTCACGAAGCTGACTTAGATTTGCAGAAAGCTTTTGATATTTGTCGAGCAGGTGAACAGACTCGAAGCCATATGGAAGCCTTAAAAATGCAACGAGCACAATAGACGAAGCGATAAAGGACTCGTTATGGTCAAGCGTGTTAACTCGAAGACAAAGAACAAGCGAACGCCCTACAAAGAGCAACTGGGAAATGTTCAGTGCAAGTACTGCGGGACGTTACATCAACGAGACAAAAGCAAGTGCCCAGCAGTTGGAAAGACTTGTGAGAAATGTGGTAAGCAAAACCATTTTGCCAAAGTATTTGTAAAAGTGTGATAAAAATTCTTTCACAAGACACACATGACCTACATGTATGTGGGTGCGTTGGAGCAGCATGCAGAAAGAGATAAACGGTGTTAGCAATACAGAGGAAGAGTGGAATATAACAGTACAAATTTACAATCAGCCTTTAAAGTTTAAACTAGATACAATCACTAGAAGTTACTATCGCAAGGGAAGTTCTGCCGTGACATGGAGTATATATATATATAATATATATATAATAATATTAATATATATAATATATATTATATATATATATATATATATATACATATATATATATATATATATATATATATATATATATATATATACATATATATATATATATATATATATATAATGTTATATATATATATATATATATATATATATGTATGTATATATATACATACATAAATATATATAAATATATATCGTCAAATAATTGTAAACACAGATCATAACATGTTATCAAACAGAATCAGACAGGCCCATTTAAAATCCATTTATTTTATCGACCATTTTAATAAATAGCTGCCAAATTGAAACTCTTTTGTACGCATATAAATTAGCCCAATTAGTCTTGGCATGATGTAAACTTAAATTTCAAAAGATTTTTACGGTGTAATGGGGTTAGTCGGTCCTACTTAATATGTATATAAAAGTATTTCAAATTAGTAGCCATTTATAAAACTGGTCGATTTGACACCAAAATTTACAGAAATATATTGAACAAAAAATTGTTCAGATTGTCAAGTCCTTCCTTGAATTAACAAAAACAAAACATAACATTAATGTACAATAAATAAGTTTCCATAAGTGTTCCTTCACTAAAGTTTATGCAAGGGCAACATCCATAACTTTGTTTTTTAATGTATCAAAGGTCACTTTAATCGTTTTGTTTGCCTTTAAATGGCAATCATGACATCCTGTTGACTTGCAGTGTTCAAGTCCAATGATAGATCCAGAACTATATTTTTAAGTTGTTGGATCTCTTGATTGTAAAAAGCTAGGCGTCGTTTCTCAGAGGGGTCGGAAGAGTTTTGCAACAATGTACGAACCATGCTTTGAACTTCACATGCATCAAGAAGTTGCAATGCACCACATCCATTACACATCGCAAAGGTTTGATTGTCTGGAACAGGGGAAACATTCTTTTTGCAATTGACACAGCTTTGTATCTTAACAACTTCAATTACACCAATGACATTGCCGATTATAGTTGTAGATGTCTCATTGAGGTTTTCAGGAACATCCACTAATGGGGTATCAAATCCAGTTGTTTGGTTTGCTTCAAACTGTTCATTCTTTGGAGTGTTCAAATATCTTTCACTCTTATATGCTTTTACTTTAAAGTTCTTAAAGATGTACGTATCTTTTTCGTTTAAAGTATTCACATGCGAGCCCCAAAGTACTGCTTTAATAAAGGCACTTGTGTCTCTTAAGATCAGTTCCTGCTTCATCAGTGTTCCTTGATGTTGTGTTTGGATCTTTTTCACACCAGAAATTTGCATCACTTCAGCTTTAATTGTTACCAATTGCTCATTTGCCAGCTCATTGCAAGACACAATATTTATGATTCCATTTGATGTAAGTTTGTCTGAATAGACAAAATGTACATCATCAGAATTTAAAGGTGCCACATTGCTGAACTGATTTATGATTATATTTTTGCCATCGATCTGATCTTGTGTAGTTGGAAACTTTGACTGGGCTTTTGGTTTTTTCGAACGTGTTCAGCTCCGAGTGCTTATTTGGGGAGAAACACACACCACGAACAGTATCATCTTTTTGCTGAAGGATGAAATTGAAATACTTGCGATTCGATGTTTTGGAATTCTTTACTGGTGAAACAGCGTGAATATAGCAGGTTATATCTTTATTTGAGTCTAAATAAAATGAAAAGTGAAAGGCTTCTTGAGTATGAATATTTTCATTTACTGTATAAATTATGCAAGTTCATCATTTATATACAGTGTTATAAGGGTCAGCTATAGACATGGACAGATAGACTAGTTAATCCATTAAGTTTAACATCCTCTGTTGAGCAGGTAAAATCATCTGGTGTTAGACAGATTAAATATTAAAAGTAGAGTGTATCGCCACTCAATTGGCCATTTGTAGAGGATAAGTAATAGCCATGCTAAATACCTGTCATTATTTTCCAACTGGTGAAAACTTCACACTGAAAAGAAAAGATACAAAGTGTTAAAAACATGTGAATGCAGTTACTTGGTGTTGACAAGAGCATCAAATTATAATATTGTAATGGCATTGGTTAATTGTCATAGGCAAGTATGTGGATTGAATAACACTGTTTAATATATATTGCATACAATCCTATATTATTTCTCTGAATTAATTTGTTAAAATTAAACTGAAAGTGAACTGTCGATAATGGCTGTATGTCTGCCTCCACAATGGAATCTTACTAACATATTATATGAGACACATGTCACAATGACTGACGCACACCGGAGGAAATAACTCAAGACGCGCGCTTATACTTTTCGTGCACTAAATTATTCAATATACTGAATACCTGACGCCGATAGCGCGCGTGCCAGAAAACGCAGAATAGGACACGGCACACTTGAGGAGACAACTCAGCCAACAGCCATGAGTGACGCTCAGCTCAGCTGTTTCCTCTAGTGTAATTTGATGTCACTGTATCGCAACTGCCCTTTGACCAGGCACATGTCAAACTATAAAAAAGCCGTGTTTTTGGCTTAATCAAAATTCACACAAACATTACTGGAAGTTATATAGTTTACCATTAATCTAAATATTTAAACGTATTAAGGTTTTGAAACCGCATACAAACCAACACTTGAAATTACATTATACTATAAACCGGGCGCACAGGCATATTATCACAGGCATATTATACTATGAAGCCGGGCGCACACGATGCGATTTATTCCGCTTATAAAAGTCGGTCGATTATGCGCACCAGTAACTTTTTGCAAACACTGTCAATTTACGAAGTTACAACTAATTTAATATATTGAGCATATTTTCTCTTGGACTGTAAGAAAAGGGCATCAAAACGATAAATACGAAAACGATTTTGAAAATGCTCGAAGACGACGCTTGTGCGCACATGTCTAAAAGCCTTGTTTTGAAGCATTTAAATTTCTTCGAACGCCATCGCTGATGAATTACTATATATGAAAACCAGGCTTAAATCCCTTATCTTTTCGTGTGGGACGTTTTTAGCAATTTTAGTTGGTCAAATGCAATTGGGCAATATCAAAACACTATGACATTGCCTGATAAAAATGCGCCGGGTTTAACAAGACATTCAACTATGTACACTACCTCGAAATAACATGAAATATTAAGTAGCGCTGAATTTGAACTAATAGTTTATTGATATGGGACAAAAATACATTTACGTTTTGAATATTAATTTACAACGTCCGTTTCCCTTGAAGACCAATGCAGAAAGACCGAGCACGTGTACTCTTGTAACAAAACAGTCGCAGTTGGGGTGTAGCGCATGCGTGTACCATGACCAGCCGACAATTTAAAAAAGTAAAGTAAAAAGCAAATTCCGAATAAACAAGACATCTTGAGAATCAAAATATAATTCAAACAAGACACAGATTGAGACTGTAAATTTTCCATTCTGTCTGAAGATGACTTTGTAATAAAGTCGAAAATTTACAGTCTCAATCTGTGTCTTGTTTGAATTATATTTTGATTCTCAAGATGTCTTGTTTATTCAAAAATCCTATTAAATCATCCACTTTTACTGCATGAAGTCTTCAGTGTTTTGTCCGTCTTGAGTTAAAATTGCTATTGTGTATCAATATCAAATTTGTCAATATTTCACTGTATGTATTTATTTTATTAAGAGTAAAAAACTGTTTATTGTTATTATTATAACAAGATATTGGTATACATTTTAAGTATTCTATAGTCAATGGAACTCTTGGTACCAAAGTGTAATGTTATTGTGATCAATGGAAGTCATTCATTACTTGAAAGTTTTCAATGACATCGTGAGTATTAGGCTGTTATAAAATCGCAGAGGCAATGTCCTTTCAGTATCTTCAGTGGTCTGTCTTTATAAGATATAATTCTGCATTTGCCATGTCCATGCATGTAAACATTTCAGTGGTATCTGAACGATAACAATGTTTGGATCTTTGTCCTCATGTATAGATGTTTCATATAGCTTTCATAAAGCAGTTACTGCAGATTCGGTACCATCAGTGCCCATGTATACTCCCAGTAAATTTTGTTCGGTTGTACAAAACATTGTAAAGCACATTACACTGAGGCATCCACATGACATGACACTTGATAAACCAGACTGTATCCAATTGTAAGTACCATTTTGTTGAACTATATAATTCTGTGTAACCCAGCTCATAACATGATATGGGATCATGTGAACGTTATTATTCGGAGGATTCGTTGTCGGTAGTAGCTAACAGCATAACTATAATTAAAAAGAAGCACGTAAAATTAATGAACAGAACAATTGCCGAAAAGTACATGGAACATAGATATGGGAAAAGGGGAGTGAAAAAAATTTACCTTTTTAATCTTTCAAATTAACCATCATTTCATACATACAGTGATAACAGATAACTGATTATATTATTAATTAGCGATTAAGCGTACATACAGAATTTTAGGAGGGATCAATATTTGCAACCCCCTATCTCTTAATATTCAAACTGAATGGTTTGTTCTAAATGCACTGTTCGTACTATGTGCTAACTGATCAAGCCTGTTCTCTTCTTCAAGCCTATACTGTAAATTACCAGATGATTTCAATCTGGCTAATCGTTCATAAGTCATAGGTTCAATGACACAAGATGCAAGTGTTTTTGTCCTACTAATAGCAACATAAGAGACTCCAGCAGTTCTCTCAGATTTCCCAATATCAATCCATGCTTTTGGAAGACTGAGTCCCTGGGTCTTGTGTATTGTTAGAGCCCAGGCAAGCCTAAGAGGTAACTGTTGCCTCTCATGAAAACCTATTTCTGTCTGGCATGAAACAGTGATGGGACATATTGGAATGCACAGCGGTTGGCTTTCATCAAATACAGGACCTCTATAGTTCTCAAATTCTACTATTACTGCAATAGGTAAGTCAGGTGGTTGATGGTTGTTCTGATAAATGAAATCAACAACCGTTCCAGTAGCCCCATTGCAGAGGCCTACACTCGACCATAGATTCATTGTCAAAATTACCCTAGCACCTTTTGCTAGAAATACAACTGGTTCTAACCCAGACATGTCGTCTGGAAATATCTTTTTTGCCAATGAAGATGAATGACAGGCATTGATATGAGCAATTGGATGCTCAAGTTTTGTTAGTTGTTCATGGTTGTAATTGCCAACTTGTTCATTACTATAGAATAGTCTAGTAGAATCTTCAAACTCACATAAGTTAGTGATGTTGGATGGTTGACGAGTCAGAAGTAATTCCCAGTCATCAGCTGTTGAGTCGCCTTTGCGAAGTCGTAGCAATAAATCTCTGAACTGTACCTGTTCTGGTGTATTACCTTGTACTCGTTGATTATCAGTGAGTTTAACAACATTGTTGAACATACGATATGCTTGATAACCTTGTTCACCAACAGCATTTGATGGTTTAGCATGATACAGAGGTTTGTCAGCAACAGGTGGTAACTGACCTGGATCACCAGTCAAAATCAGAGATTTTCCACCAAATACTCCGTCATAGTAACCAGTTGCTTGTTTGCAACGCTTGTCTATCCAGCCAAAAGTAACTTGGCCAAGCATGGAGTATTCATCAATTATAATGTGCTCAATGTCGTTAAGATTATCTTGTAGTCTACACAAAACTTTGACCTCTTAAATCTTTATTACCTCTTGTTCCTACAGGTAATTTTGATAGAGAATGCACAGTTACACCTCTAATATTATAAGCTGCTTTACCAGTTGTAGCAGTAACAGCACATTTACTTTGCAATAAATTGCGAATAGCGTTAATAAGGTAACTTTTACCAGTTCCTGCAACACCATTTATGATCAAACATAATGGTTCTGTTTCTGATAATGTATCATCAAAATGAGATTTTACAATGTCATAAGCAAGTTTTTGCATTTCACTAAAACTGTTGATATCAACAACATCATATTGTTCATCAATAGTGTACTCCTCTTTGTTAGTTTTTATCCATGTTGGCATTTCATGAATTTGTTGTTCGGAGTAATTAGCTCTATCAAGATGCCAGCTAGTCATGTGTTGACTCTGGTGTTTGTTCAGAGTTTATATCAAATGGAGTGTGAAGGTCTGATATTACCATCCACTCTTCTCGGGTTCTCTCTTGTTCTTCAGAAGGTTCATCTTCTGGTTCTTGGCTTTGGATGACAGCTTGTAATTTGTCAAACCAATCTGGGACATTAGATTGTCCATAAGGCGTTTGCAAAAATTCTTGCCACGAATTAATAAGAATCTCATCAGTTGGTTCTTGATCATCCCACGCATTGTTGTGGGTTGTTTTCCAGGGTTTATACCTTAAAAGTTGATATTTACAATATAAGCCAAAGTTTGTGCCTTTGGGATTAGGAGAATAAGTTGGAAATATTCTAGGTATAACATTCTCTGGCAATTTTGTCAATTCATTGTTAACAACTTTGTATGTTGTAGCAAAGTGAACAAAGTTCATATTCATTATATCACGCGAACTGTCATATTGTTCACGATTAGCATACACATCAAGTAGTGAATAATCAGTGCATGATTCACCTTCCTCTGAATAATCACGTACTCTACGTGAACCATTTAGACTGGCATCACTTTAAAAGATGAGCTGTGTAGTTTTAAAGACAACAAATGATCCATTGTCTCCTGAGCTGCATAATCTCTTTCACCAAGAGATTTCATAACTACTTTCTTAATAGCCCGACGAGGGTCAGTATTACTGTCAACATTTTGCATAATAGAATTAAATGCTTGTTTTAATATTGGTGATCTTGGCTCACCCTTAGCTGCATATTTTGTGAGATATTCAACACAAGCATAGTGATCAATGACAACTTGAATGTCACAGTTAGCTCTCCATCCTTGAAGTTGGAGTTGTTGGTGATTATTTAACCGAGAATCATTTCGTTTTGTCACAATTTTGGCTCTATAATGTTCATTATCACCTGAAGTGTGAATTTTCTCAAACTCAAGTATTGTCTTAGGACAATGATCAAAAGGAAAATGAAATCTACATTTCAATTCTGTCTCACTTGACTTCTTCCTAAGACAGTAGCTGGTACTACAACGAGTGTGTCGTTGTACCATGTTTAACAGATCTACATAATCTGATTGCACGTCATCTTGAGGAATTTCATTATGATGTTTTTGACATGGATGAACTTCAGGTCTTATCCACATTTCCTCTTCAGGAGGGTTAGGATTGACGGTTGATAATAACCAATCAACATACTGACATACTGTGTCAGCAGCTTCCTGACCAGCTTCAATATCCTGGTCAAGTTCTGTTGTATCAGGACATTCATTTTCATTTTTAAATTTTTGAGCTAAGAAACCTTTCAAAGCAGTTTGAGTAAGTTTACACAAACCTGGATCATTATTTAATTTAGCAGTACCATGACAATGGATACTACCTCTACCTTGGTATTCATATCTGAACCAGTGCCATTTTGCACCAAGTGTTTCATAAAGCCAGTGTTTCACAAAGCTTTCTAATCTTTGGGTGAAAAACCAATCCACAAGATGAGGATTGTTAATGACATTTTGTCGTCTTACATCACTGGTAGGAGTAGCAGTTTCACAATTAGTACTGGATTGAAATAAAGCATGTAATTCTGGCCAATGCATATCTGCTGAAGAAAAGGTAAAAAAATAATGTTGGTGCTCCAACACTAGTGATAATACACTTCAGTTCTTCTCTTACCCAATAAGCATTAGTGCCAGCAATATTGCCGACATATCTAGAAACTTTGGACATAAATAGATTAGCACTGTTACTGGAAGCCATTTCTCGGAGTTCATCAATAGTGAGATGTGCTTCACCTGGGTTTTGTTTAAGGAATATTCCACTTTGTTGCAGGATTCGTTTTCTTTGAATCATGTTAAAAGCCCAATAAGAAAATCTTGGGTGGTTGGCAAAACGATATACCCATTTGCCATCAATAATTTCAGCAAATTTTAAAAGATGCTTTATTCTTTCCTGAACAGGAACATCTCTCAGAAGTCCCTGATTGGTAGGATCACCATTCCCATCTGGAAATAATTTTGGGAAAGCCATTGTAGCTAAATGCGATACCTGATACTCGTTTAATGGCTCATTCTCTGTTGCGGGCCATGGCATTGCCTTTTTTTCAGAAAGCTGATTTCTAAAAGCTTCCATTTCCTGTTGCTGTTGTTCTCCAACAGGTAAAAAACTACTCATTTCTGTAGAATTGTTGTAAACAATATCATCAGAGGGGTTATCAGTAGGAGGACCCAAACCAGGAGAGCTATTCTCATCTGACAGATCTGAGACTATATCATCATCAGTCTCAACAGTCATAAGACCTTGTGGTACACCATTTTCGGGTAATAAGTTCAATGCATCTTCATTAATTTTCAACCCTGAATAACATGGATTGTTATTTATAAGCCAAACTAAAGCATTATATACTCATAGTTTTGCTTTCGCACATTTACATCTCGGAATGTGTTGTTTTTCCCTTTAACCTTGACAATAATCACAGCCAAGTCGTTTGGGTATCTTGGCAAAGTCATTGCTAGTTCTTCGACATTTTGTGGTAGGTTAATACAATGCCCTGAATAACCTCGCTGACCACCAGGTTTAATATAAACTCGCATAATAGGCAAAGCCCGAGCAATTAACATTTCTTCAATTTGACTTAAATTTTGAAGTTCATGTGGAACAGATGAAGGTATCATTGAATTTTCAGAAGAGAATTTTTTAGGAGATTTTTTGTCTCTAGAGCATCGTGAACACACATATGATGTTCTTGGTTTGGTTTTTAAAGGCCATGCCTCCCGACATACTGAACACTGACTGACAATATATTGCACAGCCTTATGAAACTTACTCATGTTAGCCTTGGCCCAAGATTGCTTGTCAATACTGCCATTGTTGGCACTGTCAAACATGTTTAAATACTGTTCTTGATTTATTTCGTGTTGAGGCTGTAAACCCCCTTTTCCCTGCTTCTGTTTTTTAGACAGTCTATCTTTTTCCTGCCTGCTTTGCTTCTGATGGTCAGTTTCCTGTGAACGCTTTCTTTTCATAGACTCACTTTGTTTTTTGAGTCTTGTTTGTTTTTCACTTGCAGTTTATTTTGATTGCTTTCTTTTTTTATTTTCATTAGCTTTTTCAAGTCTTATTCGTTTCTCATGTTCAGTTTCCCTTGAACGTTGTTCTTTTTGGTATATACAGTCTTTAACACGTTTAGTAGTCTGCAGTGTAAAATTGCCTTTTGTTAAAAGGACAGGTACAATTTCAAATAAATTGACATGTAGGTTTGTTGACAGAGTAAACAAAAACTGTTCCAACTCCAGAATATTGGTAAATTTCATGACAACAGAAATGCCATTAGGATCAGGCATACCATTAACATCTCTGGCATGGGAGTCAAATAAATAGAAAGTATTTGTTTGTTTTATAAGGGCCATCATATAGCCTTCTAGCACTAAGATAGCATAACTATACTTCACAAAAGTATTCAAAAGAGCTGTATGAATATCATAATATGGACATTCAATTTCCCTGTCAGTAATAACAAGACCTTGAAGATCTTTTCCATATTTTATAAACCAAATTAGGTTTTCATTTCTACCATCGGTTTGTACCTCATTTTGTGCCTCAATGGGCTGTACCATCACAGGTAGGCTGGTATTTTGTGCCTCCATCACAGGTAGGCTGGTATTTTGTGCCTCCATCACAGGTAGGCTGGTATTTTGTGCCTCCATCACAGGTAGGCTGGTATTTTGTGCCTCAATGGGCTCTACCACCACGGGTACGCTGCTATTTTCTTCTACCATATCAACGTTTAATTCATTGTTTATACTTTCTGCTTGCACTATAGGTGCTTCAATTTCGTAACAAAACGTGCTTGTACAACATGAAACACTAACAACATTTGGCAAGTTATCTACAGACAATAATTCAACACCTGGGTTCAAAACAATTAAGCCATTATTCATAGCTTTTAAGTACATTTTGTCTCCTTGTAGTAAGACATTATTGAATGTTGTTGTTGACCAATCAATCAGCGGGTTACTTTCGGCTGTTATAATTGCCGATAAACTCATGAAAGCACATTGCTTTCCTCTAGATTGATCATGCACTAAAACTTACATCACCTTGATGAATATTAGCAGAAAGAAATGAAGTCATACTTACCTGAACACTTTCAAACTTTTCTTGCATAAAACGACTTTTAACAAATTCTTGATGCTTTAATTGCTTTTCGATCGGCAGAAAGCGAGAACAACTGAAACATGCCGACATGCGCGCGCAGTAGAACATTTTCTTGACTGCCTGCCCCCCTCATTAAAAAAAATTTCCTGAATCCTTAATTAACCCCCGGAATTACGACATCTTCACAGAAAAAATCGAGATTTCGACTATACATAACTCGGCCAAAGAGACTGGCACGAACAACACGATACTTCATGTTGCGATTAGTGTGCTGCCCACGGCAGCAACTAGACTTGTTTCGTATAGTGGAAAAGTGATAAAACTTGAAGAAACAGTCGTATTACCAGTAAACTATAGAGGCAGGCAGTATCCGCTTGAGTTTTATGTTGT